GCAGAAAAAAAATAAAATAAACAGCTGTTGCACTGGCCAGGAATCGAACCCGGGCCTCCCACACATGGGCTGCTGTAAAAGGAAAAGTAGCTTCATCCTGGCTCAAACCAGGACAAAGTGCCTTTACAGAAAATGTATATTTATACACCAGTACACTACCTTCAGCTTTTTCCTTCTATTATCAAAGTCAGCATCAATGTTTTACTCTTAAGAACTGTATTACAGAAACTGCTCAAGTCAAAATGTCAGACTTCAAAATGGCAACAACAAAAAAAAAACATAACTGAGAAATAAAGTTGTATCAGTTAAATTTATGAATAAATGATTGAACCATTTTATTTTGTTGTAAAGTAAAGTCAATGTTTCAGATGGGAAGCTTACTGAATAATGTAACTTGCCAATGTAGCTTTTAATACTGAACAGATGTTACAAACAGTTGTTATGAAAGAATGTTTTTCCAGATTCAGCTTAGTTTCTATATAGTTATTCAATGCCTTTTAAAGCACTGAGCATTATTTTTACTGTACATTAGTACCTTTGATGTACGTGTACTGTGTTTGCCAAACTAAAATACATTAAAAACGTTGCCATTACTAATGAACGCTACAAACAATGTAATCTGTAAGGAGTTTTGGTTTAGAAAGCTCTAATTCAATACTTGACAGAAGATGAATCATCATTGTCTAAAGCTGTGATGTACAGTACAGAAATCAATCTCAGTAATGGCATCACCCTTAATATGTATGAATATGTTTAGCAAGTAAATAGTCCTACACGTGCATTCTGTGTCTACAAAGAAAACCATCAACTCTCTCCTGAAGAAGTAGCTCTTAATTTATAAAAATAATAATTGAGGGGGGAAAGTGTGACACAACGATAGTTCTTTTCAAAATTTCAAGAGAGTAAAATAAACTAGTCAGAAAATATTTTGGGAAACTATTTTTCTCCAAAATCTCCTTTGTGTACTTGCTACTCGTGAAAAATAAATTACCATATATCCAAACTTCAGTAGTTCATATCATCATACGATGTGCAGTTTTACGTGACTCATAATACTGACATTTCTTCTCAATTTGTCTGGACTAAGAGCAAAGTACTTTCTCCTCTTCATGTTTACCTTGTGTCATGCATAGTGCTGAAATAAATGTCTTGTAGCTAAACTTCTTTCTAAAGTTGGGGGGGAATCTCAGTAAAACTTGTAAAGATAAATTTATCAAAGTACACTACGCTGTGATTATTCAGAAAACAGTTAATTTTGTCCTATAGGTTTTTACAGTATGTTGATTCCAGCCAATGCTTTAAAATATGTCAAGTATTCAACTGTATTACATAAAACTGAAAAGTTTTAGTCCATGTTAGTTCTTTATTATTGAAACTAAAGTCTATTTTTCACCTTTAAGTATTATAGTTTCTATCAAACGCAGCATCACAGTCAACATCATTTTCTACACTGTGTTATATGCTACAAACAGTAAAAGAGGCCAGAATACTAATAGAATACTCATCTTTAAAAACACAATTAAATAATCATCTGTAAAATATTTACTATAAAAGTGTTCTCATGTATTAAGCATGAAAAAAAATAGTCAAACACAATGGCAATTACACCAACATTTTGTTATCTTGAAATGTCCTCCACTAACAGTAGCCACTGCTCCTGGACAGAGTTAAAACAAACAAGGAACTAGAAACATTTAGACCATCTTCATGAATGTACCTGGGAACCATCAGATAAATTAGTGTCTCTGAGCCATCTAGTTCCCAAGGCTGTTTTATTGGAAAGGGAGGAATACTGCCATTTCCAACTGCAGTGGCTTAGTTGCACTAATATTTCCAGTCTACCTCTAAAGAAGCTTGAAAAGAGAAAAGAGCAGAAAGAAAGAAAGGACAGACGTAGGAATGCTGTGATCCTGTTATAGTATCTAAAACTCCATCTCCTTTCATTTTCAGAACCTCTTCATCCACATCTGATTCACTGTTAAAACACATACTGGGTGGAATAGGGAGGTACACATATGTGACTCTCACATGCAAAATTTCAGCAACCATTGTATTATAGTTTTACCTATTAAGTCACTCAGCTAAGGAAAGGAAAAATACATTGGTGTGCAAAATAATGCAGCTCTCAAATCTAGATCTACTCTATTCGTAATGAGGAAACAGAGTTTACATGCTGCTTACACAAAATTGCTTCCTGGGGGAAATCCCTTGGGTGCACAGTAGACACAAAACTTAATTCTACACTTCTCTATGAAAAAGTCAGAAAACCTTTAATACATTTCAGGGCCCCATTCTTCTAGGGAAGGCTGCAATGAAGAGAGTGAATTTTCCTTGACAATTCAGGTTAAGTGCAGCTCCACGCCATGTCTCAGTAAGAGTACTGTATGTTTTGTGTACAGCAGTTCTCTTGATTTTTCAACTGAAACTATGTACTATCTGGGGTGGAAAGGACAAAAAATAGGTTGGTAGAAAGTGAACAATGAAATCAACCAATTCATCTTCCACTAGCTTCATTCACATTCATATGAGGGAAACATGAAAGTTATACCATTCAATTCCAGCCATGACCAAAAAAACAGGAAATCCAACTAAACCATACCAAGAAGCTAGGAAATTTCCTAGTTTAGTCTGGAGAGAGTTTTCTTCCATTTACCATTTACACTGAATTTCTGCGAGACTGTTTGATTGTATCCGACTACTTGGAAACAGACAAGGAAAGACTGATTAATATACTGGCACACCTCATAAGACAAACAATTCTTTTTTTTTTTTGATACTAGGTTCCTAATTCAGCCAGTATGCTTCAGAAAAGAGGTTTTGCATACAATTATTCTTCCATTCAAAGGACAGAAGAAAAACAAACATTTTTAAGAGACAATCATACACAGTTTTGGAACTATAACCTAGTATTAAATTAGCCTTGTAATGTTAAGTTGTTCCTCACACATCCCTTGCACCCATTTACTATTTGTAGCTTCCACTTATTATCATGACATAATCAACATTTCAAAGAAAAGAAAGGGTCTGTTTTTCTGTGAAATGCCTAGTATATTAAACAATCAGAACATAAATTCTTATCTCTGTTTCTGCTCAGCAGTCTGCTAATGGAGTTACTTAGCAACAGATGAAGCAACTGAATTGTGTTGCCTGATCCACATTTCACCACAAAGTAACACAAAGCCATTATTTTGCTGTTGACTGCCTCTGTAGAGATGCATTTTTGAAGGATAAAACCCATTAATCTGAGACTAGCCTACATTAAAACCCAGCCATCACATACTACATATAATGGACTATGCATTTTGAAACTACTAGAAATTGCCTGGAAGAGTCACATGATTTTGAGCATCTATGAAAAAGGAAAAAAACCCAAGAAAATAAAAACACAAACAGACTTGATTTACAGATTTAGACAGAAATGACAGTAGCCATTTAAAAAGGAGGGGAGTGGGGCATGAAGGAGTAGTCTTCTTTAGCTAAGTGACAAACTGTAAACTTCAAACACAGAAAACAAACTCTCGTATGTCAACTACACTTTTCTTGTCACAGAGTATTTTGATTTCAGAGAATGAATATTTACTTATTTCAAAAACACACATTTCCCCAAACCACCTTCTTTACCAAAAAAGTAGGAACATACGTCACAGCAAATATTAAGATATTATTTTAGAAGTCAGTCTTAAATCAAAAGTAACTCACAAAAGTTGAAAAATAAAACAGTGGATTATCATTTGTAACCAACCATTACTCCCTTTCCAACTAACTCTAGGACATTAAGAAATTCCTTTAAATTTTTAATTGACTTTGGAAAATGAAAAATTTTAAAACTGCATAAGAACATCTTACAAATTGCCTTCATCCATCACACAAAATTACAGTACCAGCAAGTTCTGAATTACTTTTGCCCCTAGCAAGGGGAAACCACATCAGCTTCTATAGCTTTGTCACCTAATGGAATAAATCTTAAAAGGATGAATTTTAATGGTATTAAAGATTTTGTTTTGACACGGGATAACAGGACACAAGCTTTGTTCTGCATTTGAACTATGCTGAGATCTCACATTTGGCCAGTAACTCCTATTTCTCAACATCCTACAATTCTGATTAAAACCAATAAATGCGTTTTGATTTTTCAAAATAGAAACCATTCTGAAATGAACCACTTTGGGCTTTAGGATCTGTTTGTCTATTTGAAGCCAAGTATCAAACTAATCTGAAGCCAAATATCAAATGAATTTTAAGCCAAATATCAACTGACCAACTACAAGGTATGCTGTTTTCTGACAAATGCAATCTGTTTGTTCTAGTTCAGCAGTTATCAAACTAAAGGTTACAACTATGACATTAGCTGATAAATAAGAATTCAAATGCATGCAATATTCTCTACTTGCTTGCAAGAGAAAAATAATAAATAAGAGAAATATATAAAGCCAGTGCTCTACTATACCGTTTAGTAAATACTGGCTTTCAATATCAGAAACACTAATTTCAGAGAGTGCTTATAATTAGGACACAAGCATTTTATTACTCCTTAACAACTTCCTTCTTCTATCTCAGGCACACAACTCTACTGCACCCTGATGAGAAAGTAATACATTTCAAGAAAATATTATCATAGTGTATAGAACCCAACTTCTAAAATTTTTTTTGTTTACGTAACTTTGCACTTTTTACTACAGAAAAATGTACTGGTATAAAAAAAGAAACTTTCCTATGGATTAAGTAATTTCCTACAGAAATCAGACAACTCCCAACAATTACTTCTTGAATGTCATGTCAAAACCAAAAGTTAACGTGTATCTGGAATAGCATTAGCTTAACTACTACTTTTTCTGAGATATCGCTGTAGAACCTAAATTTTCACAGCTAGACATTTGTAAGCAATTCATTGCCAAAAAGCAGTCATTCAGAATAAATTTTTAAACAGACCCAAAACAAGAGAAAACTGTGACAAGCTGTGAGAAAGAAAATAAAAACAAAAAAAATCAACATGTACTTACTAATTTGTTTTCTTGCATGTATATTCTTTGCAACTTCAGACAGCCTTTAGCTATAATGATCATTCCTTCATCTGAGATCTTGTAACATTGGCCAAAATGAATGTCTTTTAATTCTCTGCATTTTGAACCCAGCTGCAATTAATGAAATCAAAACAAGTATTAAAAAACAAATGAAAAAAGCTGTCAGGATTTGAATAAACTAGAGTGTTGGGAGTTGAGATTTCGTTCTGCATCTCCATCTCCCACCCTCCTAAAAGATAACTGTCTTTACACATTTTATAAGTAGTGTACACAAAAAAGAAATATTTTAAGTACATACATGACAAAATTAAATTGCTAACTGCAGTCAACTAAATGGAACTAAGAGCAGCACACAGGAATGGAGTTATTTATTGGGCACATATGTAAGTAGCTCACAATGCCTGTAAGCTAGACCACTGACAGCATACTTCATTTAATGTAACTACTACACAGCTTATCCTAAATGCTCCTCTGACATGAGGGACAATTGATGAAACCTTCCTACATGCCTCAAAGATCTCCATCACATTTGGCTTTCATGGTACAAAAAAAAGAATGACTTAAGAGTCACTTACAGCAACTAAGCACAAGAAAACTCAGTCAGCCAGAGGTGACGTGCAGGATGTCACAATGGAGTTTTAATTATTAAATGGATAATCTATTCTCTGGATATGTATTGAAAAGTATGTACAGTCTCTAGAGAACAGCACTTAACTGCACCAAGAAAACACAGGCATAAACCAGTTTTTACATCAGATGAAATCTGATTTTAATTATATCCTAGAAGAGGACATCTTCTTCCATGTCACTTTTTGCACTTGGTAAAAAGTTGAAGATAGAGAATTTACAAAAGAAATTTGTGGAATGGATGGTTACCTGCTTGAGGCTTTCATCGGTGAGTCTGTCTTGATTGCCTACATGCACTTTCTGAAGATGAGGACACTGAGAGGCAACTGCAATAATAGAGGTGTCAGAAAGCTGCTTACACCTGTAGGCAGTATACCTTAGGAGTCCAGGACATTTAATGGCTAATATGCATACTCCTTTATCAGATACATTGCGACAATCAGAAATATTGATTTCAGTAATATTCTGGCTTCTTGATGCTAACTTTTCCAACAGCTCATCAGTGACCTGTAAAGAAAATCCAAATATTCAAATTAAACCTTTTTCATAAGCATTTTTAATTTCCTTAGCACAGTAAGGTATTCCATAAATTTCCATAAGCTTTTAGGAGAAGATTTATTTTTCAAGGTAACACCATATTGATATGATCAGTTTTACAGTTACCTTTAAAGAATTCTGCCCCAACATATGGAGAGAATAACAGTTAATAGTCCTATTCATCTTTTAAACAAAGAACACTCCAGGTTTTAGAAGAAAAGGATTTGCTTGCCCTTCTAGAGCAGCAGTCTACTTACATACCTAAGGTAGCATTTATAGAGAAGTAAAGAGTTTGTGTCTCTGAAATGCTACAGGCTTCTACTTAGGCTTTGGTAATCATCCAAAACCACCAGAAAAATACGACAGTAACGGAGGTTAAAATGGGCTTCTTTACAATGTAAAACAATCGGGCAGTGAACAAAAAGGACGAGAAGGAGAGAACACTGTAACAGGAAAAAAAGCTAAATAAAAACTACAAGTTTCCTCCTTTTATTTGCTCAGTTTTAAACCAAGAATGCTCGCACACTTAAAATGATCATTACACCAGATATGTATACTAGTTTCCCAGAGCTTCTGTGAAGAAAAAAGATCCTATCGACTTAGCACCTGTACACACTGAAGTCAGATAACATGCCAATAATTCTAAGATAAACCAGTCCTACAAAGCAAAAGAAACAAGATATTCTTCATACTCAAGCTTATCAGTTAAAACAAACAAAACTAAAGGAGGTGATGCACAATGCATAGAACTCTCAAAGTTTAGTTCCAAAAACCTGAGGTGACATATGACTAAAGTTTTTCTAACAAAACCAATCAGGAATACTTATTCACCATTTAGCAATGAGATTTAGCTTTAAGCCTGCAGATGGCAAGAAAACCAAAACCTTGTAAGTTTTTCTCTGACAAATACCCTGCTACATTCAATCTGTTTTCCATTAGTAGCAAGTTTAATATTTTTCTTTATATTTCAACACAGAGCTGTTAGCTAGAAAATGTGACATTTTGAAAAAAAAATCAAAATGAAAAACCACAAACAATACATAAATGAAACAAAACTCCTCTTCCCCTAAAGCCCAAAACAATAACAAAAAAACCCAACTAAAACACCAAACCCTCACCATACACAGAGAAGGATAACATTTGTGCTTAATATTGGTTTAGGAACTTAATAAAAAACTGGCAAGATAGGTTTCTTAGGCCAATGCCACAACTAATAAACATTAGTGAGATCCCAATATACATAATAGGCAAAAGCACTAAAAACTCCGTATTAGCAGTAAGGCTATACCTTGACAAACAGTACCCACAGAGCAAAAAGATGGACCACTGTCTGAGTGTGTCTGTTTTTTCGCAGGTGACTCCAAAGCAATCTGCTTTGTAACTTCCCACAGTGGTTCAGAAATACATTAACTAGTAACTCTAAGAGGAAAAGAGCTTGCATATTTTCTTATTAATTGATGATATAAAAAAATATTTCATGTACATTCATTATGTAGATGAGTTCTTGCTGCTGCTTCTTCAAATGAGATCCTCCAGTCTTTATGGTTCTCCTACACCCAACATTTTCATGAAGCTCATGAAAATGTTTTATCAGCCTCTGTAAGTGTCTAAGTAACAAGACACCTAAAAGAGAGGCCAAAAAACATGATCATCCTTAAAAAACGCTTTCCAAGGAGGAAGGTTACTATGAACAATCTAAGGCTAGGCTCTGTAAGAATCTCACTAAATGAAATCCATAAACCCCAGACATATTTAATTCTAGGATCGGATAAAGGCCTAAAAAGACAGTCTGTCTTCTGATCAGTAGGTGCCACAATAGTTGAAGAAAAATTAAAGAAATTTGGTTAACACAAAGAACAAGCACCAGTTAGGTGACCATTCTTCAAACTAAAGCATTCTCAGAAAAACTCAAGTATGTCTTTCAATTCACATAAGGAGCTGAGAGTTCTTATGAAAGGAACAACCACAACTTGATGGGAGACCTGAGACAGGTAACTTGCAATTACTTTACACCAGCACTTATCCTCAGACTGTTTTAATAAGTATCTCAGTCAAAACAGGCTACATTCAAATGAGTTAATCTAAGGATCCAGCCATTTTTGGCCTCTAGTAGAAAAATCCCTGAAAGCACAGACATCACTAAAGTGATGGGTTTCTTTTGTTTACCTTTGATCAAGAGTCAAACGCAGAGAACAAATTTTGAGTCATCAAAACAGTTTTTCTACAGTGATACTTCATACCTGCTGACGACTACTGAGATCCAGTTGCTTCCAAAACTGAAAATCTAAACAGAGGTCACGCCAATATTTACAGACTAGTGATGCTGAAAGGCAACGCTCGTTCATGGATAAATTGGAAAGTATCTGTAAAGAAAGGGAAAAAAAATATTATCTGTAAGAGGTTATCATATTTCACATAGAGAAATATACTACTACTAAACTGGCCTGTAAGAGACAAAAAAAACCTAAGTAGGCATTGCAACACGCAGCTCTAGAACTTGCCCACAACTTGATTAGTCGAGAATAGTAACCGAAAAAAAAAAGTGTATCGCACAATAGCTTAGAGTAAGTCACTTTAGTACAACCAACAACAGAATGCATCCTATGTAAGCCCTCATTTCATAGAGAAAATTTCAAATGTGCTTCTGAGATGGCATACCTAAAGAACCACAAATACAAACATTAGTTTAGCGTCATTTCCAAGCTATTTAAAAGGTGTTTTCATTTATGTTCTGATTCAGATAGAAAAATCTTTTCTTTTTAATTCCATTACAAAATAAAAAGAATTACATGAAGGTAGGTACTAAAACATCATACCTTTCAGATACAGTCAGTTCTTTAATGTCAAGCTCTTGCTTTGAAATACGTGTTCATCCAAACTCATTAAAGACCAAAAGGGGAAAAAAATACAAAAATGCGATGCCCAGGACACCAAAAGTTAATTAACAGATACACTTGGCTTTCAGTCTGACCAGACTCAATTCTAATAGTACAATTTCATGTCCGTGATAGACATAATAGTTGTTAGCTAAGAAATGCTTCTCCTAGGTCTAGGACTTTTCAGTTTCCCCATGCTCTGTCAGCAAGCAGGTGCACAAGAAGTGCACACCAGAAGACCAGGAGCCTGCCATCTTCAACAGAAGCTGCAACTCCACAAGTAAGAGCAGTTAACAGCTTGCCTGGAGACAGAGAAGGAATCCAGTGAGGTGTGAGGAGATCCCAGACAAAAATCACCATTGGACTAGAAGGTGCGTGCGGAACACGTGAAGAGTGCGTGAGGGGCAGGTGCACAGATGACAAAGGTGTCATTGCCCAGGGATCTCTTTGTTTGGCACCCCATCCACAGACACCCAGCTCCAGCTGTTGGCTTTTTGCTTCCTGGATGTCCCACCTGAACTATTTATTGATTTATTCAATAAAAGATTCAGTGCCTGCAATTCTGCTACAGGAAACTAGGGATGAGCCTGAAGGAGCAGGAGGCGCCCAAAAGCGAGTGAGTGAGTGAGTGAGCAGGCAAAAGGGCACCCACCAGCTCGCTGAAGCCACCTGTCACGGAGGCACTTGTGTCCTAGCACTTAGTCTCCAGTGCTGTGTGTGCAACTCCTTGGATGGTCTATGAACGCTCAGGTCTTCTCTTCTAGACCCTTTCTGTTTTGAAGCAAGTTCAAGCACTCCTAGAACATTCCTGATGAGGATATCCCTCATTGCTAAAAAAAGCATGTATGAGTAAAAATTGCAGCTCCTCACATAACCTCAGGGACAGGAAACCACTTTTGCCAATATTTAAATGTTCTCGCACTGTGAGTAATTTTCCAAGTATCTCATCTAAATTTCCCTCACATCCAATTAAGCTTATTAGCTCTTCTTATTTGACAAAGGACAAGAATCTTTTCGATCACTTCTGTCATAACAAAAGAGTGCATCTCTATCTTCTTTCTCAGGAGAAGTGTCATTTGGTTTGAACAGAATCTTCCAAATACCATCACAGGCCATGTTCCCACAACCTCGAGCTCTCCTCTGATGCCCCTCCAATTCGTCTGTGGGTTTTTTCAGGAGACCCCAGTGACCACAACTTAACACAGTAGTCTTGCAGAGGCTTTAAAAGTACCAAGCACAGCAGAGAACTTCCTTTCTGTGTTTTACATGCACAGTTCCTGTTAACACAGCTCAAAAGGAAGTGTTTGAATCAGCATTACTAAGTTGACTCAGTCTGCATGCCATTTTACAGCAGTTAATTTTTCTGACTGAAAAGCAGCACTGCAAAGAAGTGGCAGGTACAGCTAAAGATTTCTCCTTTTCAGAAAAAAAAATGTAAGTGAAATTGCAATGGTCACTGATTTTTTATATATAGCATGAAGTTTTGAAAACTTAGTGATACATAGCAAGATTTTGTAAACGTCTGCATCGCATGCTTACAATGCCTCCCTTGTATTTTTTCATTCACTGTCTAGGTTACAATCAGGTGGATTGATCTCTCATTCTTTAGTTCCTTTCAGATTTTAAAAAGAATTTATTTAAATTACCCTTTAGTCAAAAGGTAATCACCCTCATCTAGAAAGCTTAAAGATGAAACTTTGCCCATTGTGCATCATTGTTTTTATACATGTTTCAGTGACTAGATGAACCATAAGGTTGCTTCATCTGTGGAACTACATTGCTTTTGTTTCTCCATATTGACGAAGAGACCTTCTCCAGCCAGGGATCACCTGGCACACTGCCCTATGAACTTTCCAATTTAGTAGAGCCCATACAATGATTTGCAATCCAAGTTTAGTCTGACAAAGTCTTCCATCCAGTCCCATATCCTTCATTTACAGGAGACACAACTACTTCATAACAGAAAAACACCTGAGAAGCTAACAATGGCCAGCTATTCCTTAGGTGTTGCTACAACTTTTCTTTGGGCTTGCCTCTAGCCCATGTATACACACAGTTGGCAGTCCCTCCTGCACTAGCACCACTGCATCAGGAGGTTGCAGATGTGGGAATCCAGGGAAGCAAGCATAGAAAAACCCAGGATGTGGCTCCCAGGACTTCTGAGGAAGTAATCTCTTGCCCATGAATTAAGGTTTGTGCCTCTACTACCTACTGTGAAAAGTTTGGTAGAGACTTTGGGTGTCCCACCCTCTCACAATAAAATGGCATCTTTGGAGACAGGATTATATTTGGGATGTTCTACCTGTATCAAAACTCAGCATATTAAAGCTTTTAGGCACCTGTAAAATTCAATTATCAAGATGTCTCATTAGAAATCTGAAGTTAAGAGTCCCATAACAGAAAAAACAGCTATGGAAGTAGATAAAAATCCCTAACAAAAGCTCATAAAAAAACCACTAGCCCAACCCCTACATCTAGGTAAGGATCTAACGGCAAATTTGGTGAGGAAGAGGGGACTGAAAAAAAGAAAAAACAACAGGTGAGTAGGTTGATTCCAAGCTGCTGTAATTAAGGCAGGCTTTTTCAAAAAAATTACCAAAGGACCTAGACTAGAGAGACAAACTCACTGGGGGAGGTGGGGAACATCTGAAAAAACAAACACAAAAAACCCCACAACACCCACACAACCAAGAGCTCCTTGAAAGTACAGATATAAATTAAATACTGTGTCAATACAAAATAGAACACCATACAGAAAAAACATTAACTCTAGTTCACTGGTGAGATGGGTATTAAAGACCTTCACTATTAAAATAATTAATATAGGGAAGAGTTACAGATTGGTATTTCTGAAAAAGTGAAACTGAGCACTGAAGTGGTCACCAAAAAGTACTCATACCATTAATCAGAAAAAGTGCTTAAGCCATAATAACCAAGTCAGTTCAGTCTCAAAACCTGGAACAACAGAATATTGAAGAAAAAGTTATCTTCCAGTGATGCTGGCAAACAGATTGGATTGTTTCTCAGAGGAATTACAAGACTCAATTCTGCAATAACAGAAGAGATTAATTCAGATGATAGTCCATGAATGTTACGTATTTCCCGAAATGTAATCTGAATACTGCATCTACATAATGTACCCTAACACATTCATGTGTATGTCAAGAAAGTGAAAATAAATAAATACATGCACAAACCAACTGAAAACCCTACAGAATTAATTTTATGCACAGGGCAGGCAGGTAAGTCAATTGCTATTGTTTGACAACAAAAAAGTAAAGGTCATACTTCACATTGGGATTACACAACTAGCAGCAAACTACAAACAAGAAGAGTCATCTGTCTCACACTCCTTCATTACCATAGCCTACTTTAAGTTTAGCCATCTGGCCCCAGAGTAAATGCCTATAATAGGGAAACCCTATTCCTCAAATTTTAACAACACATCTGTATCAAACTCTGGGAAGCATCAAAGGCTCCACCTTGACTCCTTCTTTTAGCTAACATTTAGCTGAAGAAAGTCAGCCTATTGGCTTTCAAGAGAGTAGCTTAAAAATTAACTTGTTCACAAATGAGAACAGAATTAAAGGAAGAAAAAGACAGCAGAAGGGCCAGGAAAGAAAGAGAGGCTCTTGTAGGGTACAGAGTAGAAGTTATGAAAATATGTAGCTCCAGGGGGCTGCAAATACACTGAATGATTGTGAAAACTGTAAAGCCAAAATTGACTCAAAATACACAGTATTAAGTTTTACCTCCCTCCAGCAACACTGAAATTTTGGCTACATATTTCTGACCTACAGAGAAGCACTAAATACAGTGACTGTTCACCTTGTCTAAGTACTCCACCAATGATACAAGAAGCTGCCTGTGAAGGGATCATTACAAAGTTAACAGGTACAACTCAAAATATACAGCGGTAGGTTCTGGAGTAGTTTTCAGAGAATCACAGAATCTTAGGGGTTGGAAGGGACCTCGAAAGATCATCCACTCCCCTGTCAGAGCAGGATCACTTAAGAGTACCTCACACAGGAAAGCATCCAGGCAGGTTTTAAATCACTCCAGAGAAGAAGACTCCACAACCTCTCCAGGAAGCCTATTCCAGTCTTCTGTCACCCTCACAGTAAAGCAGCTTTTCCTTAGGTTTACATGGAACCTCCTATGCTCCAGTTTGCACCCATTGCCCCTTGTCCTACCACTAGACATCACTGAAAAAAGCCTGGCTCCATCCTCCTGACACTCGCCCTTAATATATTTGTAAACATGGATGAGGTTGCCCCTCGGTTGCCAAGCTAAAGAGACCCAGCTCCCTCAGCCTTTCCTCATCAGGGAGATGTTCCACTCCCTTCATCATCTTTGTGGCTCTGTGCTGGACTCCTTCAAGCAGTTCCCTGTCCTTCTTGAACTGAGGGGCCCAGAACTGGACACAATACTCCAGATGCAGCCTCACCAAGGCAGAATAGAGGGGGAGAAGAACCTCTCTTGACCTACTAACCACA